CTTTCTTTCTTTCTTTCTTTCTTTCTTTCTTTCTTTCTTTCTTTCTGCCTACCTCTTTTTTTGTCATAGAGGAAATACTTTTTTATTGAAAATATATTTTTTTCATATGATGTATCTTGATTACAGTCTCCCTTCCCCCAACTCATTCCATATCCTCCCCACTCCCCCCAAACCACACCCTTCCTTCCTTCCTTCCTTTCTCTCATTACAATACAAGCAGGCACCTAAAATATTAATAAGATAAAATAAAACTAAACAAACCAAGGGCTGGAGAGATGACTCAGTGGTTTAGAGCACTGGATGCTTTCCCAGACGACCTGGGTTTAATTCCCAGCATCCACATGGTGACTCACACTCTCTGTAACTCCAGTTCCAGGGAATCTGGTACCCTCACACTGACACACATACAGACAAAACACCAATGCACATAAAAATAAATTTTCTCCAATGCACATTGGAGAAAATGAGTTTTTCCTTTGTGAGCGGTTATCAATTGGAGGTAGCCTCTGGGTTAGGGACATGGTATCGCTGCCTGGGGGGGGGGGCAGCCTCCAGACAGCTCAGGGCTCAAAGGAAGCCACAGAGTCATGTGTACTAGACTTTTCTGTCTGAGGGGGTTAGGGAAAAAGACACACACTCTCTTGATGGTTTCCTACAGGCCTTTTCTTTATTCTTCTTTTGCATTCTCTGTTTATTTTCCTGGTGATTTCCTTCTCTCATTCTTCATGTTTTCCTTCTGACTCTGTCTTTACTCCTGATGTCTCCCTTGTAGTTCTGACTCTCTCCTTCTTGATGTTTTCCTTCTAGCCCATTTTAACCCTACCTTTATTCTTTTTCCTGCAGCCTATATACCCCAGCATAACATTTCAGGTGACATAAAAGTTACAACGTGGTTACATTCTGTTTTTCAAGTGAATGATTACAATGAATACAAACAAACAGTAAAAAACAGCATGTTTTCCATATCCCTTACATGATTAAACATTTTAGTATTACAGGGAAAAAACAAATTATTCCAAGAACCCATGTACATTCATATCCAAGCAACTTGTTATAGATTAACCATGTGGGCAAGCAAGATACTCTTCTCAGTCAGGTCTTTTACTGGCAGGCTGCGTTTTGCAGTTACAAAGAAAGGACCAATTAGTTTATTACTTATCTTGAAAGGTAATCATAAGGAATCTTACAGGAATCACAAACCTAAACTTTTACATGTGGAAAAGAATCAGTCAGCTCTACTTGAAATCTTTAGGGTACATAGTCACTCATCAATAGTTTTTTTATATCAGGAGATTGAGGGCAAAAATGGGTACAAGGAAATAATCATCACCTTTGGTCATCAACCAATCTTAGCAAGAAAATACGTCAGCTAATGATAATTGGGCTGCTTTGTTCTTGTTCCCTGACCTTAAAGAGTTCCGCATTCAGCTACGTGCCTTTCTAAAACTTTAGATCAGCTTCTTGGGTATTTCACCTCAAAGCTATTTGGCAAAAACAGCTTAGTCTAACTTTAAGTTATTTTCAAAGCTTTGTTTCAGCTGTGATGATGCACTCCAAAACCTGTGAACACATCTCCCAACATTAAGGTTAAAAGAATTTAAGGTAGCTGGGCTAACTGGGAGTCAATTGTTTTTCTTTCTTTTTTAAAATTTATTTTTACTTTATTGGTATGTATGTCTGTGTATACTCTCAAGTTATAGAGAGTTGTGAGCAGCCATGTGGGAGCTGGGAATTGAACCCAGGTCCTCTGGAAGAGCAGCCAGTGCTCTAAACTGCTGAGCCACCTCTCCAGCCCCCTTAATTGTTTGTCTTAATCCTTAACCTAAGCCACAGACAGTCTATACAGCTCCTCCACAGGAACTCATGTGTTGTAGCAGTGTGACACTGCCTTGTTTATATTATATTAATCATCAGAACTTTATTTAAACTAACAATATTATCATTTAGACAGTACAGCTTAGGAAGGCATCATCTTCATAATAATCCACAGGTAAAAATGCCCAGCAGAAAGGGATGTTTCCATGATATAAACACACTACATTACAGGCACTGAGGATCTCCCCACACCCATTCACACCATGCCAGATACCAGAGGAAGACCACAGCA